AGTATGTGGAAAGGCTCGATCTGAGTTTGCTAGGCTATAAACGAGCAAGACGTAAATATTCTGCCTCCTAACTTCCCTGGTTCTTGAGTTATTAATAGGGCGCCAAAAATTTTAAGTTCCCTTTCATGAATGTTAGGTGTGCAGCGAAACTAAGTTTCTGTATTTGTTGGGTCATAAGCGGGCAGGGAATATCATCCAGAATTTCTTCTTCCTGCCTTTCGTGCTTCTCGAGTTATTACTTTAGGCGCCAAAAGTTTCAGGTGACCGTGCGTGAAGATTAGGCTCACACGGACGTTCAGTTATAGTTTGGGGTTACATGTGAATAAGGAGTTCCTCTTTACAATTTCAGCTTAGTACTTTCTCTGGTTCTCGAGTTGACCCCCGGATAAAATTCATCTGGAACACACACACACACAGACAGAATAGGGTTTCGACAGTATGCGTTTTGTGCAACTGTTGCAGCACAAAACGCATAAAAATTAGGAATTGCTGACAAACTGAAATCTGTAGGTGCTGTAATGGGAGCCCGAACAGACCTCATCGAAAACAAATGAGCTTCTTGGAACAAATTTAAAGTAGTAGTACGGATGTTATTATAATTTTTTTGTAATTAGGCTCATTATTTCTGATTTTTATATGAGGCGATTTATTTTTCTTGATGATAGTTGTGTCTGTTCAAAATTACTTTTACATTCTTAATCATTTTTCGATAAATCTTAGTGGGACTTGTAGTGCTGACTTTCAACCTCTCGTTTTCAAAATCTTCCCACTTTTTTTACACAGTTTCGAAACGTTATGAAAAATCTGAATAAAAACTTAAGTAATTCCTAAAGAACTGGAACTTCAAAAGGAATGAGAAACTGATTTTTTTTTTAAACAAGCTTAGGGCACATCATGGGAAATTGTAGCTTTGGTATAGCTCATTTAAAAAATTTCGCCAGCTACCAATGGAGGTGTGTAATAGATGGTCGATTCCAGTTAAATTCAGGGATTCCTTTTCAAATCCTTTCAATTCGGAGAAGACTGCACTATCTCATGATGTACGTATTGGGGCGGAAGATGAAGGACAAAAAACTGGGAAGCTTAGGAATCCACACCAGTAAATAGAAAAAGCGCCTAGAGAGGGCCGTGCGACGTAGTGGGTGGGAAAGCATTTGAAGGGGGAAGAAGCAAACTGCCACTGAAAGATCCAATGAGAAATGCGTACAAGAAAGATGGGATGTCTGGATGGAAAGAGTGTACTGTGTGCGCACAAATGTTCAGTGGTTAAATTAGATCAGATCGTGTTCTTTCAGTTCCCAGATCATATGACAAGTTGCAGTAAAGTTTAGCAGGTTGGCCCTTAGTTCCAAATGAACTATATACAAAGGCGGCTCCGGCCTTCATTGCATTTACCCACATCACTAGATCATAGGCGGTCCCAGGGCGGGCTCTTGTTGGAGAGGACAAGAGAGAGGGAAGGCGAGAGGAGGGAGGGGCGGGGGGGGCAGGGAATGGAGAGGAAAGTAGGGCTCATGGGGAGAGGAGAGGATAGCGAGGAACCGGAGGAACTATGTACAAAATTTTGCAAGACGTAGCAAATGACGCCGCGAAATTATTAAGTTAAAAATATATGATATAAAAAGCATCATTTTGCAGATTTACGCTTTCAAAATGTCGCACGACGAATTCAGGGTGCGTGAACCGCTGGTTGGTCCAGAGTTGCCCACCATCGACGAGGTCCTGAATTCGATGCTGCCAATTTACCGCCAAGCCCTGCAGGACTTTTGCGATAGGCAGGTGGGCACTTAAGTCGAACAGTGTAACAGTACTGTATCTGCTATTTTGAAGGTTTTCAGAACTGAGCAAGAGCAAAATCAACTCAATAGAAACAGCAAGGCAAATGGGCAAATACCATTATTGCCAAAAAAAAAAAAAAACAAAGCTAGCCAAACATTGGCCACCGGTTCTCTAAATACAGTAGGTCCAAATGAAACTGGAAAAAAATTAGGTCTAAAACAAATGTATTTTTAGATGAGGGAACGGATGCGTATGCGCTGTCGCATACACGTA